AACATCCAGGTGGGCAGATGCTTTTGCAGGGCCCAGGATGCTCTGACCCTGGGAGTAGCTCTAGGTTTGGCCCAAATGGCATTAATGAGGGAGATGGAGGCTCCTCCTCTTCCTCACTGCAAATGCTCCATGTTCCAACTCCCAACCAGGTGGGCAAGTGTTGGGGTAAAAGGTCAGGGGCAGCTGCTCAATGGACAACCTATGCAGTCTGTGGTCCCTGAAGGGGTGGGAGCTTCATAGGGGGGAACTGAGATGGAAATTACCTGTTGGCTGGGGAACGGGGCGGCCTGGAAAACACGGAGAAACATGGTGAGAGTCTGAGCAGGGTCAGCTCCTTCCTGAGAGATCAGAGCTTCTGCTCTAGCCCTGAGGCATGGGGCAGACCCATTAGGGACCCCTCATCCCCCATTAAAAACCCATATCATGGTCTCACCCAAACAGGGCTGGATATAGGGATTCACTGTGTTCACGTGTAGATATTTCCCAGAAGTGGATTCACTACTCTGTGCTTTGGTCTCTATTTCCAGACAACATTCAGTGAGGATGAATACTACCAGGGTCACACTTGTGTGAGCCACAGTATCAGCTAGGGAGGTGTGTGTGCATCTTCACTACATGACCCAAGAAAGGCAGGGAGATACGGGCAGAATCAAGTGTCAGGAACATCCCTAGACCAGACCATGGCTGTGCACATTTAGCTATGTTTTCTTTTCTGCCAAAAACAGCAACTGAAAATTTAGGGAAGGAGGTGGAGAGGGCTGTCAGCAATAAGGAAACTGATTCTGATAAGCATGGATGCAAGAGAAAATATACTATCCTATCATACTGCAAATCCTTTTCCTCAAAAAAGAAAAAAACAAACAAACAAAAACCCCACCTGCTGGAAATTGCAGTGAGCACTATATATGAAAAACATGGCAAGAGCAGCTTCCGCTAGTTCCCAGGTGAGCAAGAAAGCTGCATGGGCCCCACAGGGAGCAGAGCCAGGAGCAGTGCTTTCTCCTTTCTGCTGCTGCTCCTCATCTCCTGCCTCCAGGAAAAGTCTGTTATTCTCCCCTCTGCTGTTCACAATGCAGGGGGACATTTTCTCCCTGGGTCTGTTGTAGGTGAGACAATCCTTCCCCTGTCCCATATCCCTCCCTGACTGTCTGGGCTAAGGATGAAACCAGAACAAACTACAACTGCAGGCCTTTCACACCTGCAGGGCTGAGGATCTACATTATATTGTAGTGAACAAAATCAGTCTGACCCACCAGCTGCCAAAGTGTCCTCTGCTGGAGCAGCAAGGTCAAAGACAAAGGCAGCTGCAATTAAGGTCTGCTGGGACAATAAGTTTTCCCAGGAGAAAACCTTGGTCTGTCCCAGCAGACAAGCAACAGGACAGAGGAGAGAGGTTTATGGCAGAAAGCCCCCCTGATACCTCATCCCCATGAAGTCCCACAGTGGGGTACACACAGGTGCTCCCACCCCCCTGGGACTGGCACCTCCAAACCCAGAGTTACTGCCTTAAAGCAGAGGAGAGGAAATGTCCTCAGTCAAGGCAGGGACAGCTCTGCCTACACATGGTCCCTGCTCTTCCCTGTCCCTCAGAGGAGGGAGGGACAGTGGGATCCAGCCCCAGCCCCAGGAGGTGAGAAACTGGGAGGCCCCTGCCAGACTCCAGGGCAGCTCATACTGATGTCTGAGAGGGAGCGGAGCCTGCAGCCAGACCTAAAGCCTGAGCATTTTGCCCCAACAACACCTTGGTTCCAGCACCCCAGCCGAGCCCCACTCACCTTTCTTGTTCCTCAGGTAGACGAGGAGTCCC